AAAGCTGCTGTCTCTGCTGATCTCTCCTCTATAATCTGGTATCCCCGCTGTGGGCCTTAGAACAACAAGTCCAAAACATAAAAAAAATAAAACTAGGGCTTCACTCCTCATATCTCATTTTTATATCTGAGGCCTCTTCAAATATTGGGAAAGAAAGAGTATCTTTGTGTGTGTCTGAACTGCACCAGAAGCTATGTGGGGACATTTTTGGGTGCTGGTGTAGTTGTATCTCTATACAGTATATAGACATTGATGTCCTGCAGGATCCATATATGTTAACAATCTATCAATCTATCTTGTTGGTATATTCTGTACATACAACATCTTGCATGTCTGTCCATCTTAGAAGAGGGTTCCTTCCTCTGTTGCTCTTTTGGAGTTTTCTTCCATTTTTTCAAAAACTCCTTTAATGGGGAGATTTACTGTATTCAAATCAAGGGTTTAATGATAGAGTGTGTCCTATGCTGTACAGATTGTGAAGCCCCTTAAGGCAATTTGTGATTTGTGATATTGGGCTGCATAAAAATAAAAATAAAATTGACTTGACTGTATATCATTATTGTGCACTTCAAAGAACAGAAAGGTTGTATTGGTATCATTATCATTAGCATGACTGTCATCAAGTCATCACACCTCTAGTCCAAGTACCCAATATAGCAATGACCTCAGATAAATTATTATAAGAAAACAAGTTTGTCTTTATAATTAATAGATCAAAAATGGCATGCAAAAACAAATGTCTTACTTTATTGTGAAACATATTTGGCCATCTCAGGCACTGCTTTCGTGCCTGTGAGTCTTTGGTGGGTGACTTTAAAACCACCAATGAAAAGTACCAGGTAACTTCATTCTAAATCACATTCATTGCATTTGAATAGGTTTATGAGTCATACAAATTGGGATTTATCTATTATAATACTGTTTTTACAGTATGACTTCGCAGTGTGTCTCTGTCTGATCATCTGTTTCTTTGGTGTTTGTAGATGGAGCCTTCCGCGTGGACTTGCTCGGACTAACGTGGATGGCACTTGTCCTCACAGTGACAGTGGAACTGACGTGAAACCCCTAATCCAAGACACTCTCACACACACATACCCACACACATACTTCCCTTCTTACACAACATTCACACACACTTTCCACGAATCCTGCAAGCCTTCTCCAGTCATCAAGAGGCCCTCCATGCGTCAGTCGATCAGGAAACAGTGCCACCACAGGATGGCGCACCACTGTTTTTGTAACAAAATAATAATCAAGATAATGATATCAAAAGAACAACATGATGAACATGACAATAACCACCTCCTATATAGCCCTGCCCAGTTACACCTTTTTTGTTTCTTGTCCCACGTCTGCCTGTTGATCAATAAAATCAGTTGATTTGAAACGGAAAAGAAAAAAGCATTTGGATTTTATTTTGATGAGTCAAAATGTCATTGGTGTTGACTGAAATGTGAAAAGTGGAACTGGCTTAGGCTGTGCCACCATATCAACCACGCCCGTCTGTTACATGTCCTGGGATGCACCTGATTAGCAACAAGCTGATAAACCACGGGGGAACAAACACAGATGCTCCAAGAGAACATTCTTTTTTTATTAATATACAAGTATTCTTTTTTTCCTGATGGCTTGGAATGTAAGAGGATTTAAACGCATTGAGAAACTACAAAAAAAATCTCCTTTTTGAGTGTATTTTGTGTACATCAGTGTAAATATTGAAAATAATTAAAGAGGTTATATGGGTTATGGTGAGGGGTGGTTGCTGAGATAGTTGGAGTTTACACTTCTCCACCTTTGTTTGTATACTTCATTCAAAACTGTTTTCAGAGATAATTCTTGGCTGAAAGGACAAACACATTAACAGCCTTTCTGTTTCTCATTTGGGCTTTTTATATCTATATGGCAGGTCTACAAGGACAGAGTAAAAAAATTATCTAACATATGTCTGCTGTTTTGGGGTTGTGGTGCATGTGACGTTTGAAGATTCTTTCTCCTTTTGGTGTGTTGCAATTGACAGCACTGCAACTCATTGTCACTGGCCTGTAATCAAGTTATTTACTTGTGACATACTATCTTAAGTGACCTACATTGTGTACAATATGTAACTCTTACCCAGACATTTACAGTACTAGTAGGATCATTTTAGCCGCCATTCCAGGGAGGTGCTCACCTGAGGCAGCGTGTGTAAACAGGGTTGTTGCATTTGTTTCATTTCACCTGTATTAAAATGGAGAGATGATAAAACTTACAAGCCTTGACTTTACTTGTAACAATGTGTTCGACATGTTCAGTAGTGTACGTGCATATGCTTCCAGTCTTCTTTGATGCTGGGTCCAGGTAATATGCACTCTCCTGCATGTCTAGATTGTTGCAGGAATTGTTTACAATCTTTTATGATAACCTCACCGCGTATGGGGAATCTGAAGGACAGTCTGCATCGGCCGAGAGAATCAGACTCATTTTTATGCCTGCTCAAATACACGGTAGCTCCAAAAATGACTTTGTTTCAGATATTTCTGATTGTACTGACCCCAGCATGACTTGAAGGGGATTCCAACATTGCTGTTAACCATTTGCAGTTTGTACTCTTTCACTTGGTGAAGGGTAGCTTAATGCAGACTAATCCTGCATTTTTTGGACTTCACAAGAATTGCAATTTAAGCTATTCTAAGAACACAACATGTATTAAGGGATTAGGGTTTAAACCAGGTGGGAGGTAAGAGGAGACATTTTTAAAGCTTAGTCAAATAGAAAGGATAGACCTATCCTTTTGGGATTTTGGCTCACCTTGCCAAACTACAATCCATATTCCTGGATTTTGGAGATGAGAGCCGCATAGCACAAACATTATTAACAGACAGTCATATGCGCCTTGAATTAATTTTTTTTCGAGTGAGGGAAGCAAGGGGCACGAATCCTTGTCCACCCACTGTATAGCATTATAATTCAGCTATTATTTTAATTCAAGAGGCACTTTTGTGTTTTTTTTTTCTTTTTTCACTCACTTCACATTCAAGAGAGAAAAACAGGTCTATCACCATTTCTGAATGCATTAGAAACTGTACAAATTGTCTTTATATAATCATGATATAAATAGAAGTACATCATAACATGTGTGCATGTGTGTATGTGTGTGTGTGTGTGTGTGTGTGTGTGTGCATATGTGTATATGTGTATATTGTCCACAAATTAGTAGTATGTATGAACACATGTAACTTTTATAAAATTAATTAAAAAAATAGTTAAAAGCTGTTGTGGACAAAAAAAAAATCAGCCAATAAATATGACCCATTTAAATGTATGGTTTTATTACATTTTCTGCTGCAAAAAAAGAAAGAATTTCCTTTTTTAGCCATAGATGTGAAACATCTAATTGTTCCCTTCAGTGGTAATTGTCCTTAATTATAGGGACATCAGTGTGAAAACAAGAGCAAGCTTTTGTGTGCATCATTGTTTGCTCATTGTAAGTCAATGCTGTTTAGGTTTATTTGTGAGAAGGTTGGATGACCCTAACAGATAAAGTTTGAGCCACCTCAGCTTTGTAAGTTTTTGTCTTTTATTTCCTCAACAAATTGATGATTCAAGAAATGTGATGGTCACAAAATATTAAGCTTTATTGTTTTTTTTATTTAACTGACTACATCCCTCTTCTGCCTGCAATGCTTCACTAATCTGCGAAGTTATTACATAAAAAGCAGCAAACACCTGTTAAAAATGTATTTTCTGCCTTCTGTTCTTGTTCAGTCGGATGTTGCACACCAATCATGGATGGTACAAGAAGAGATGAAAGTGCCACCATACAACAATGCACATGGCTCACAATCATGTTTTTTTTTTTCAGCAGTGTTCTGAATAGTTTACCTGAGCTAGGATCAATGGTGAGGATAAGAAGCTGACTCTTTGGCCCATATGTGAATTATTCAGTAGTCAACCATGCTTGCAGAATCCAGTTTCCTTTGTGTCGTCTGCAACAGGCTCAGCTATCGGATGACCAAACAGCGTACATGTCAGCTAGGAGACCCGACACACCCTCTATATGCCTCTCTGTGCGATGGAACATTAAAATGCTCTACAGAGTGCTATTAAAATAAACACAGTTCTGTTGTTGACAACAGCCCCACTCAAGTGTGTTATCAGCAACACAAATGACAGCCTGACAGCGGCAACTGAGTGACATGGCTCCCATGTGACAAAGATGTATGTTTGCATCTCAGTATAGTGTATAGAAATTAATGACAGTCAGGTTTCTCTGTAGACACTCTTTCCATCTGGCATTCTTCAGACAGTTATCTGTATTATTTACAATTCTATGTTTTTATAATACCAAGTGACTGCCTGCCATTTTGTTGTTCGACAGAAATGTTCAGCTTCTCTTAGAGTGAGTAATTTAAGCATCTGTGCTGGCACAGAAAAGGACCTTTGATCTGTGGCATGGCTGTGCAAACAGATGTATCCTGGTTATTAAGTATTTGATAAATGTCACCTATCATCTCTCCCCACCCCTTATTCAAACCATGTTTTCCTCCTGCTGCTCTAGCCGTGTGTTAGAGCAAGTTAAGGAGTGTGATCTATCATAATATTTGTACGGACATTTTCGGAAATTGGCATAATAAAGCATGACCTGAACCACTCCTGCTCACGTAAACACTGAGGTAAAGATGCAACAACAAGAAGATAGCTCAAACAAAGTTAGGATCAGAGTGTATTCAGAAGGTTATTTACTGGAGTTCTTAGATGACATTTGGATAGTTATGGGAAAAGCTTGGGTGAGTCAACAAATTGCATAAGCAAATATTGATCTCTGTATTTACATATTCTGTGTGTGGTTATTGAATCCGCATCTGACTTGCCACAGGTGGTGCATGATAAATGCCCCGCCTCTACAGAGCCAGGGATGCAAATAGTGACTCTGCAGGTGTCATTTTACACTTGATCCTTTGGACAAGAGGTGCAGTCATCAGATCACAGCAGCTCTCTTACAATGAAAACCAGACAGCGTGCTACCGTCAGCTGAGACGCACTGACAATAACATTCAATAGGATCAGTGAACCAATCGTTGCCACCATCACTGCTACAGCTATGCCCATTGCAGATCTTTTGGGAGTCCAGTTCGACATGCAGCTGCTGTTGAAACTGAGTCTCTCTGTGGCTGCGGTGCTGCTGGTTTCTTGGGCCTACAGGTTCTACAGCTCCAGGGATGCAAAGAAAATTCCAGTCTGTGTCAAAGACAACAAAGAGCCAGAAAATGCAACCTGCCAAAACTGCAAGACAACACTACGATTTCAAGACTCACCAAAACATGACACAGATGATGGGGGCAAGCAACTCAGACCCTCGCACACAGACTCAGCTACTGATGACCTGACATCTGACAGCACCAAGGAAACGGCAGCAGAAGCTTGTCCACGCCAAGGTGAAAAGAGTGAGGATGCCTTTAATATGTCATATAGTGACCAACATATCAGCTTGAAAGGAGAGATACTCACTCATCAGAAGCAGGCAAAGGTTTCCACCAGTAATATTTCATTTGGCTCTGCTTTGAACCTTCCTCGTGCAACAGAGAGTGGGATGGTCAGTACAACGGGCCGCCGCTCCCCTTGCTTTTTGCAGAAGCTGGAGGGCAGTGTGGGTGTGGGCAGGGAGTTAAGGCAGGACTTGGAGCGCCAGGGGGCCTACTCCAGCTTCCTCTCCAAGGCAGAGATCAAAGTGAAGGATGCTAACGTGGTACTGGAAGGAACAGGAGACCAGATTGTGCGCGGAAAGATATATGATTATTATGTTGAGTCTTCCTCTCACTCGATTACAGACTCAAATACTGTGCTGGGTCAGTTTGAGAGAAACTGTGAGTCGCAGCCAGTGGAGTTTGGAAGTCATGGCAGCAGCCTCACAGAATCTCCTTCCTCCCTGAGCCCCATCATTATGCGTGATCTGGTTTTACCACAAAGCACTGCTGAGGATCCCTCCACACTTGGAAACCTCAAGCTGAGGCACCCTGCAAGGCCTGTACTCCTACGCAAGGAGAGCTATCTGTCTGCAGCTGAGCAGTCTGAGCTTTCCATCCCCTTTCTAACATCAAGAGCCTCAACTCCAATGACTAACTCTCCAGCCTCAACCAGCGATACCATCTATGTTCACACTATGATCTTTAGCTCTACAGACAGCAAAGATCTTAATATGAGGGAGAGGGCAGATCTAGAGACTGTAGCAGGGGCTCCATTTTTACACCTTCCAGCAAAAATTCTTAACAGCACAGATTTGGAAAGCTTGAAGAGTAAACTTGATCTGGGTAACTGTTTGGAGACACTGTATCTGGCCAAGAAACATGGCCAGCCCGCTGTGCAGCAAGCAGCCCTGGGAGTCATGTCAGACAACTACCTCCAGGTGCTCAGGGACCCCAACCTTTATGGGCGGCTAATGGCTGGTGAGCGGGAACAAATCCAGAAGCAGAGAATGAGAGGGAGAAGGTTCGTCATGGTGGCAGATATGGACCCTCAAGACTGGGCAAGGAACACAGGAGGGCCGACAGCAGAAACAGAGCAGAGGAGGACATCCAGTGCAGTGTACTATTATGATGACTACAAAGACACCTGGCATACACTCTGCCTGATCCCACAGGAGGTCATCTCTAAAGCCTGTGCCATGTGCACAATGGATAACTACTTATTTGTGACAGTGGGCTGCCAAGGCACAGACAGAGAAATGACACCCTCAAAGCAAGTGTTTTGCTACAATCCTTTGACATCCATTTGGAAGGAGATCAGTCCTATGAATGAAGCCAGGCCCCGCTGCAAACTGGCAGCTCTCGAGGGCTACATCTACGCCATCGGAGGGGAGTGCCTCTCCTCAGTGGAGCGCTATGACCCACGTTTGGACAGATGGACATTTGTGGCTCCACTGCCTAATGATACATTTGCTGTGGCACATCACGTCACAGTGTGCAATGGAGAGCTTTTTGTTTCTGGGGGAACACTTAGATATATCTTACTGCGCTACAGCCCCAAAACCAACACCTGGAGGCCAAGTCTGTTAGTAGGTAGCAAAGACAGAACTGCAGATATGGTAGCTGTGGGGAGATTTTTGTATCGGTTTGATGTTAACCCACTGCTGGGTGTCAGTGTATATCGCTACCATACAGTAGCTCGACTGTGGTATGAGTGCAGCTCCAAACGGCTTCTGCGCTGCCCTGCCTTCCAGTGTGTCACGATGGATGACACAATCTATTGTGTCAGCCGCCAGTTCACCATGAAGTTTGAGGCTGATGAGATCTCTCCTGCTTTCATAGATGAGAATTTGAGTGTCCTCTCTGCAGCGAAGGGCATACTTTTCCCCTTTGTCCTTTCACTCCCTGATAAGAAGCCTCGGCAGACTAGTGTGTAATGAGGACTCAGTTTTCCATTGATGATAAGATTAGGTGGTGATGGAGTATCTCTACAAGAGCATGTGTTACATCAAGTTTCTTGTTGACTTACTGGGTTTTTCTTCCATGTTTATGTCCAACCCAGCCCAACCCCAAATGTTATTGCAAAATTGTAACCACTGTGTTGTCATTTATTTGACATGTTACTAAGATCACCTTTACACACAGCTTCTGTTTCTGGAACTAATTTGTTTTGTTGGATTGGCTATTGCACAAGGAAATGTGTGTTTTTTATGTCTCGGTCCTTTGCAGTAGATGTAATATATTAGACTCTTAATGGTAGTCAAACTACTGTTTCCTTAGATTTATGCAGGATGTGCTGCCATGTAAACTGTTTGCTTCTTTGATTTGCCACTCCTTCCTGCCATTAAGTTAGTTTTATATCATCCCAGATGCTTAACCTCTTTAGCTGTAAAGATAATTCATAAGAGTAAATGAGTTCATTCAACTCTAACATATTACAGAGAATGGGAAACATAGTGATAATGTATCACTGCTCCACTGTGTAGGGCACAAATATAACTTACACAATGGCCTGGATACAATGCAATTATCTACAGTTGCTCTTTAAATATGACAGGGTGTAAATGGTTTTGTCATGCAATATAAATAGGTAAACTCCTAAAAGCATTTGTCACTACTTTTGAAACTCCTCTAACACTCAGATTATATAATTATAATTTTAGTCACTCTTCACTGGTAGCCATTTGTTTAAATTTTGACTTGCTGGATTTTTTTGTTAATTGTACCAAATTATCTCTTTGTTTTGTCATCTATTGTTTCATAAACATCAAAGAAATATATGAATTTGTCATTCATTGCATGTTAATCCACAATTAATGGTATTAGGCCAAATGTCTATTCCAGTATTTGTGTGATAATGATATAACAATATAACCAATGATAGAATAGCAAAGGAACAATCTATGTGGTTTATTTTTAAAGTGTTGAGCAATTCAATTAACAATGGAAATATGCATAAGAATTATACAAATATTAAATCGTTTGCTCATTTACAATAAAAATCTTTCAATGTACAGAGGACTTTAAAAAACACACTGACAGGTTTCAGACAGTGACATGCTGCTATAGCACCATCATGTGGCTCACAAGGAAAACACAACAGCGCTTTGGGTGAGCCATGCTGAGCTCCAGACTTCCCACAACACAGAGGCGTCATGTGACACAAAGGCATCAGCAGCACAGTAGAGTGACTAACTAGCTAACAGTAGGTGAAACAGAGCGCTTCAGTTGCATTGAAAGGCAGCAGGCAGGCGGGGTAAAGGGAGGCAGCCGCAGATGGTTGACCATCAAACATAAGCATCTTTGATTCTTCCTAATTAAACACTTTGATTCCCTGTAACTAAACACCTAATGGAATGGCGCTTAGACGCGTCCCTTCAGATGTTGCCTTGGATGACTCATGGCTTCTGGTTTGCCTCAGTACCCAGGTTAGCTCTGGCATCAACAATTTTTTTTGTCTTTCTTTTATTTTTTCCACAGAGTATCTAGGGTAATACTAACAGCCCATTCTGAGTTCCAGATATTAACTGTACAGAGAGAGGAAGAATTTGCATGTAATTATCCCTGTGGAAGGGCGAACATAATTCATAGCCCACTCCTTTCTCCTTCTCGCACACACACATATTCACATATATACACATAAACACTGAAACCACTCACCATACAACACACAGTAAACCTACAGTAGTCCTCATAATGAGAATCATGTTTAATTTTTTTAATTCCTTTTGATTTCCCAAATGGTCTGCTCTGTAATTTTTTTTCCATGCAGCTGACTTATAAAAAAGAGGAACCACAAAGCAGCACCACTTTGATCAAGGCTTCTAAATTAACAAGGAGCATGTGAGGCAATTCAAGAACCACAGTGTTGTCTGTGAGCCTGCTGTGATTGTGGACGTAGACTGAAACGAGGATCTGGGATTTGTAGTAGCGAGCACCGTCTCAGATCCAGGTCTTTGTTGCTGTGATTGGCTGCATGAAGGTGGCTGGAGAGCATGCGTGAAGCCCTGGCAAAGCGGCTCTGGCAGAAGGTATTAAGTGGGTGCCTCTGGTATTCTGACCTGTACACAGTCAGTGACGGGAGGTGTGACTGCTGCTTTTCCAAACGGTGCTTTGTGGACTGCAATGGGCCAAAGTTGGTTGGAATGGCTGTAAATGAACACAGAAGAGAAAGTTAACTGCCATGTTACTGCAGCCATTAATTACACTGGTGACTGATTTGGAACAATAAATGGCATTTGGGGCCACACAGATTTAATTGTTCATGAGCACAACTGCTGATGTGTTTTGTCCATGCAAAATTTAATGCACTAAGCTATGTTTGCTCTACACTCATAGCACTCTTGTGTGGATGGTTTAATATATCCTTTCCCATGTATAATCTGTGCCTTTAGCCAGTGGTGGCATGGAATTTTAAACTGTGATCTTACCAGAAATTGGCCGGTCAGACCTCTCAGGCTGCCATGTCAAGCTGTCTGGATGCCAGGGTCGCAGAGTGGGCAAAGTATTGGTGTGCTTATGCCCATAGCTCTCTTGATACTGCGTGACTAAGTAATGAGAGGATGGTGGGTCACGGTGGGCAAATAACAGCTTGGATGGAAGCCCCTGGAAGACAATACACAGTAGTCTCGACATAGCCTGTATGCATTGGCCTTCGCTGGATTAAGATATAGAGGGCATGGCCTATTCTATTAGAATAATCTTCAAAAGACTTGCTATGTGACAGCAGCAAATTGCTCTAACTAGCCTTTAAGTGCCCAGTAGGACTGATGATTTTACACATTTTTCATGACTGCTGAGTCTGACCAGAAACTTGCTTTCATAAAGAGTTTTATCACAAGACTTTATCTTGGCTGTCAGTATTATGCAGAAGTGGCCACAATCTGGAGAAGAAAGCCCTGACTTGCAGGGCTGTGACAGGCATTCAATTGGTGTTAATGCCATGAATGACCAGTTAAAGGCTGACCTCAGCTCTCAGCAGGGCAGATCTTCTCTCAAAGACGTCTGGCTTGGAGTCACGGTGGGGCCGGTAGTCTACACGATTGGTGCTGTTGGCTGTCTCTGGCTCCCGAATGAACTATGTTGGACAGGATAAACAGACATCGCAAAGAGGAGTGAGGAGGGGGGATATACAGGGACTTGAGCAATGAGCCCAGCGCAAGGATCAGCAAAGCTCACACTTCACTATCGATCTGCACTGTTGTACAGTATTTCTTAAGTCATTTCTCCTCTCAGATCCTGAACCAGCAGCCTGTGGCCGAACCTCACGTCAATGCAATTAGTCTCCAGCTCTAGCCTCTCCCACCAGGAGGCTGTGCTGATGTAGCTGAACTGAGGCTGCCTAATCACTTTGCTATAGATTTGACTACCAACTGAGGTGCTACAAAACTCTTGGCAGGCTGCCATTGGTATGGCATTATGTTTTGGATCTGCAGCATGAAAAGGCATACATAGTCTGTGTTCAGACATTCAATTCAAGTTGTATGCTTAAATCAGAACATCTTATTGTCATACTGGAACACAAGTGAAATAGACAATAAGCAAACAAAATGCCTACCTGTAGTCTTTCTTCCGCCCAGTTGCCTAGTAGCACCTTGTTTGCATACTTTTGCTCTATTCTCCAGCCGGTTTGAGTCCATTTATCCTGCGCCGTCCCTGCTTGGTTCATGTTTTGCCAGGTACCAAACGTACCTAAATCTCAATCCCTGTTAGAACATGGTCAGCTAGTCAGACAAATAGCATGTCGGTGGTTTAAGCTGGCCCCATAATGGCACAGGCAGTGGAGAGGAAATCGAAGAGCTCCGTTGCTATGGATACAGCAAACACTGAAAAGGAAGGCAAGCAGAGTATCCTGGAAGCAAATAGGAGATGTCTTACATCTGTGTTAAAAGGAAATACATTCCTTAAGGCTAGGGCATGACATTTACCTTTTGGCAGTATTCTCTATATTGTTAAAACGGTGCCAGAAACTGTTTATACACTTTGTGTCCTCAGGCTACTGTTCATTTTTGGAATAAAACAGGTTTTGTGTATAGATTTGTGTGGGGTTATTTGTCTTCTGTGAACACTATACTTTTAATGAAGAAGAAAATTCTGCCACTGGAGACCATTTTTTTTTATTAAAATGTAAAACAAGATGGAAAGTAGAATAAAGTACATTACATGGTCCTATTTATGATCTTTACAGTGTTTTAATATAGTCAACAACACTATCCACAACCTGCACTGCAGAAGGAAAGGTGAGCCACCCCTGGTTAAAAAAGTTAACCATGCCATGAAAACCTTTCATTACATGTTGCCAGGTGACATCCTTTTCCAAGTCCAGCAGTCGTTTCCTGTAAAGAATCCCATCATCCCTCAGGACATCATACTCACAGGTGAGGATGAAGGTGGGCGGGGTTTTCTGAATGATGGCATCATCTGCCAGTAGAGGTGAGACCTCAGGTTCCAAACCAGCCTTGATTGTGTGATACACCTCCGCATCATATTCTGGGGTTGGGTGCTCAAAGGTACCCCGTACGAGGCACTCAGGAGGTAGGTTGGAAGGGGAGAGCCACTCCTTATAGCATGGCCTGAGCTCAGTGGGGACATGGTTGCCTTCCAACACATCTTGGCACACAGACATGTCCCCACTGAGATACTGTAGGAAGTAGAATGCCATCCGGCCACGAAACAATATGGGCACAGCATGATTTTGCTGGTATGAGGGCAGGTTGAAATCTGCCATCTGCAGGGCTGGGTAGATGAGGACCTGAGCGCAGGGGGACGGCAGATGTCCGTCCTCTCTCCTCGCCAGCCTTTGGCATAGTGCTGCTGCCAGGTTAGCCCCAGTGCTGTCTCCTCCGACTGCCACTCTGCAAGAGTCCACGCTGAACTCTGCCTCAGCTACAGACAGGAAGTGACACGTCGCTGTCTCACAATCGTCCAGCTGGGCAGGGTACCTGTGCTCAGGGGCTAATCGGTACCTAAGAGGGGTGAGAAGGAAGACAGAAGGACAATATGTAAAATTCTGGCTCTTTGGTAAACAAAATACGTTTTTGGATATTTACGTGCATTGGGGGAGAAGTTTAAGTACCCAACAGAAACCACAGTGGTATCCGACTCCTTGGCAATGTGCCGACAGACTTCATCAACAGAATCTGTTCAGGATTAGAGGACATCACAGTTAGCAAGCAATATGTTATGGTCTTTTATTTAAAAAATACTACAGACAGAACATGACAATTTCTGTTTCTCCATCTACAATCATCTTTTTTTTGTGTATTCAGGCACCATATCATATAAAAATGTATTATATTCAATAAACATTAACTTAGATCAAGAGAAATAATGCTATATGTAAGTGAATTTTTTGCACTGAAGTATCTATATATATGTCAACTTTATTCTACTCTACCAGGTGTCAGAAAAATGTTTTTATTTTTCCCTTGTTGCTTAGGTAGTTATTAGTTACTGGCTTCTTTGCAGATACTTAACATTCAAAAATAAGAGGATTTGTTAATTTGTTGATGATTTGATAAAGATCAAACTGCCTAACAGTAATCTGACTTAAATTGAGACACAATAAAAGATTAAAATACAATCATAATAATAATGATAATAATAATATTATTACAAGAAAACACCTAAATTCAAACACAGGAGAGGATTTTGCCATTACCCACAAAAGTGATTTATAGAGGACCTGATTTCTGAAGCTATTAAAGTTTTGTTTGCATCACTTAAGTCAAACTCAACTTTGTATCTCTTCACAAATAGTTACTTATAATATTTCTGAATGCACATTTGTAATTCTTTTTGGCATTTTATTACTTAAGTAAATGATCTGAACTTTGTATACCTATACTGCCCAACACCCATCCTCCTCCATGGAAATACACAAGTCCTCTTCTCAAGCCATCACACACAGTGGTGGGTTCGTAGACTCGCACTGGCACTTCAGAAAACATCAGGTCCTTTACTCGCAGGCCTGCAGGAACTGGATTTAATCGTGTCAGAAAACGGGCCACAAACCATCGGATAAAGCTGACCTGATGACAAATACCCAGACGATGTAGAATCCGGCCCTTGTAGGAGAGGAACCACAGATTTACCACAAGTGGGAGACAATGTCAAAAACAAAAAAAAGGTTCTTGATGGGTAAAGTCAAACTGAAAGTTATTCTGTCTGAGAAACCATATTTACTATGACAACATCAAAGAAGGGGGAACACATGACCTTGCCTTTTATGCACCTTTGTTAGACTTGATTTCTTATCTAAAATTTCTCTGATCTAAGCTTTATCAGTTGCTAGAGGACAAAGAAAGGACAGCCATCTTTGACAAGGGCCTAAAAGAGTAGAGTTGATTTTTATTTTCTTGCACAAGCAGAGGCAGTTTACATTACACTGAGGAATAAGTTAATTTCATAATAAAAAGTCAATCATAACAGATAGAATAAAATGCGGGAAACATATAATACTAAGCCTGAACAATTCCATTGATGTTATAGATACTCACCACAATTGCTATGCCAACAAACAAGCCATGAACCATGTGCAGTTTGCCACTATTTGCAACCCCATGAGGAATGTCTGTATTCATCAGCTCAGAGTACACAAGTCCAATTACCAGAAGGAGGAAGGCTGCAACAAGAGCAGCGAAGCCAATTATTAAAATTGCCGAGCCGATGTCCATGGTGTTGTTGGTCTGCTCTGCTAAAGGTAAGTCATTAGGAGTTAATGTTTTATCTACCTGCTTTCAGCCTCTCTCTACCCCTCCCACATCAGACTGCAATGCATTCTCACCTTGGTTTCACCTAATGACACGTTTGGCTGCCTGTTGCCCAGGAAAAATAATTATATTCTTTAACATATTTTATGGATGTGTAGACAAAGTAATTACATGTTTCCCAAGAAACAAAGTTGTTCCACTATGGAATATTGCATAAAATATGTTTTATGTTACTGGAGTATTTGTTTAATTACTCATACAATATAATATATATACAATAGTACCCATTCCAGTCCCTAGCAGTATTGTCACAGAAATCTGAAGGTTACTATGTTTTTTTTTCCTGTTTTTCTTTGATGCCACTGTTATTGAGGAAAGCACTGCTGCTTACAATTGAACTCAGCATAGACTGGCATTTTTATTGTCTGGTGTCTAAGGGAAGAAAATGCTCAGAGATGCTCCCCAGTGAAGGCTGGCTGAGAACACCCTTATCTGAACTTTCACTGCCGATCTGTAGATGGCAGTGATAGCATGAGTATAAATAAACAGTGCACTGAAATATACACTATTTACGTTTTTGCATTCTGAATGCAGCCTGAACCCATTTGCCACTCGCTCTAATGTATATCTTTACACTATTTTCTTGTTTTTGATAAACCACTAGCTGAAGTCAAATTGAATAGAAGATTCAATTTGACTTCAGCTGAGAACTTTGGTATAGGCATCCAATGAAACTTCACTTTGGGTTCACATTTAGTAAATCTCAGATATTTCTAAAATAAAGACAGCATCTGGAGTCGTGTTGTCTTGGGGTTTTTAGCAGCCCCGAGAGCCTCTCTGCCTTCCCTAAGTAGCTGAGCCCAGCACAAAGCAACCATTGTGAGGCTGCTCTTTAAACCCATCCCAGTTGCTGAAAAAGCTCTGCATTCAGCGATACCCAGTAAAAATCACAGTGCCAGGGCCAAAAATCACAGACTGGAATCTTGTCTGAGGCCCATGAATTCATAGGATTTGTTTAGAAGGTATTCATGCAGTTTTCGGTTCTGTCACCCTGCCAAGCTTCTGGGACCGTGCTGACCTATTTCCCAAATTGCACTGTCACACACAGAAAGATATAGTCTGCTTCATATTGTTACCACAACAAATAGGGCTCAAACAACTGATGTGGTTTTGCACATAGGAGACCATTGCAAATGCAGAACATACTGTATAGCATCAAATGGAAAAACTTCACTCAGTAGAATATAAACCCTACCATGTTTATAAAACTGAAAACAATTTTTGCTGTAATTTATTATGTGAGCTTTTGATACAGCAAATAGACTTGACATTTAAATGTATCATGCGACTACTAGACATTTCCAGGTTTGTCAGCATCAGAATATCCAGGCTGGAAAAAGCAGAGACTAGTTACTGGCTCAAGGGCACATTAGCATCAGCAGATGTACTTGTCATTATGAAATATGAACCCATATTGCCCAATGTAACGGTAATTATTTCAGTTATTTTCCAGTTCTTGTATGTTTTGAAATTGATTTTGTGTGCTCTGTCTATATTATACTTAGACTACTTATTAGCAGTGGTGGAAGTACATTTACTTATGTACTGTACTTAAGTACAAAGTTGAGGTACTTTACTTAGGTATTTTCTTTTAATGCAACATTACTTCTGCTCCACTACATCTCAGAGGCAAATTTTGTACTTTTTACTCGACTACACAGAATGGGACATTTTTTCTGCAAAATAAGTAGTTTTACTGTTATACTTTTATGGATTTTTGCTGATAATGTATGTGGAACTTCTTTAGTACTTTTGCATGAGTAAATGCTCTGAATACGTCTGCCACCATTACTTATTTGGGGGGTTAGTGTTATGGTTACAATTGTCAGGTTTCTCAGTTGCCTGTTTGTTTAGTGCTAGCTGTTTATTTGTGTGTTTGCTTATTTGTTTGACTTAATTAATGGGAGCATGGGGGGGTAGCTGGGCTCTCAGTCATTTTCCTGAAGCCCTTGACCAAACACCCCCATCTGACACTCTTATATAAGTAATAGTTTGGTTGTTGATTTTGCTTTGACTAATCTGTCAGTGAAACATGTGATTGCGACAGCATTGTTATTCTGTAAATTATGCAACGAGGTTAAGTTCGAGTCAAATAAATTACAATACAGTTAAACTTTCCCAAACAAGATTGGGCACCCACCTGGGACGCAGTGGGGCGACCACTGGGGGGCCCCGGTCCACAGATTGAGAACCACCGCTGTAGACACATGAAGGGGGTGGGGGAAGAGGCAAGTACGCAACCACTCAGGGCAGACGGGTACTGGAGCAAAATATTCATCCTCACTTAACATGTCAATCAGGATTAATGCCCTTACAAACCTCGCCTTTAGGTTCATCCAGCTCCTTTCACTAGTGGAAGTACCGAAGCCAGGGCAGAGGCGGTAATATATAAGGCAGGACAGGACAGGAACACAACACTAAAGCCCAGCGGTTTCAGTAGCGCACACCACGGAGCGTCGCCTGGACTTGTGTTCCACGTCTGTGCGTCTCTAGCAGTGGCTGACAGGCGTAATGACCAATCACTCACACATTTTGAGTGCGTGATGCATGTCGACTAACATGTCAGAGCTCCTTGAAGTCACATAGTTCTGCTTTTTTATACATACATATATTTTCTCCGCCAGTGGATTACTCATGCAGCAGTGTCTGAGGCTGCAGATAAGATTGTTTGCATGCGGATAAACTTGCAAGAGCTCACGAGTCGTTGTTTCGGCACCGTTGGAGGATATCAGTTGTTGCACGTAAACTTGCAGCGTAAACATTTATACTTGAGCCCGTGAGCACCGCGCGAGATGGAGCTGAAGAGCGCGTGTCGTATGTTTCTTTTCCCGGTTCAGATGCTCTATTATATAGTCAGAGCAAGTTTGTTCTCGCTGTTGCCAAGCAGAAGGAAGGATCTGACCAAGGAGGTGGTATTGATCACCGGTGGGGGACGAGGCATCGGGCGTCACCTGGCCAAAGAGTTTGCCAAGCAGGGGGCCAGAAAGGTAATTTCATTTTAACTACTGGCAACTTGTTGCACCCATATTGCTCCTTCCTAATAAATGCACCAGCTAACTGCTGGAGTGATTTTGTAAGCAAGGTTTAGTTTGTGTCAAAACCAGCAGTAGTAGTTGAGCAGCATAAATCCCCCCCCCAACCCACACTTCTGCCCTCCTGCCGGTAACCCGGTCCGGTCCACCCTGCCCCAAGTGTCTTGTTGTTCCACTGTTCTAAGAAAGCAGGGATCATAACCTCTAAGTAGCCTAGCTGGTCCAAAGAGACTGGAGACACTGCCCTCAATTTTGGTTTAAGTATTGCACAACAGCTTGGGTCAACCAGAGGGCAGGTCTAGACAGCCTTTATGGCTGATTGATGTGATAAAGTGCAGTACTGGGCTGACATTCATTCTGCTAAGGTCTGGGGTGATCCTGGTATGACTGACATGTCCAGAAAGTGTATAGTCCAGAGATTTAGGCTGTGATAAAGGCATTGACTCTATTTATGTGTGTGGAGTGTGGAGTGTGTGGGTGTGTATTTTGGGTTGGGGGGGGGGGGTTATTTGCACAAAGCTTCACTGAAACAGCTTCAAAGCTATTTACATAATAACTGTGCTGCTATTACCCTATTATAGTGTCTTGCCATTTTTTGAGCGGTCTTTGCTCTGTTGTAAAATCTGCCAACATATAACAGAGCAACAAAAGGCTACATAATGCTTTTAATAAAAGCCAGATTAGGTTTTGTTTTCAAGCATATGAGGACATGAGATGCCTTTTATGGAGTGTATGCAAAACTAAATGAACCCAACAAAAAGAGATGGGGGGAAAACAGATGACATGATCTTGGTTAAGTTCACCACTGGAAGGGGTGGCTATTCTAACCTGTTACAGTAACTGAAATGCAGTGTAGAAAGGGTGACAGATTCTTATGAGGTAATAGGTCAAAATAGGTCAAGAATATGATGAAAAGTCATTTTTACTATGAGACTGAAGTTATGATTGATTAGTATTTTTCCAGTCTGGATGTGATTTTAAATTTATGGGGATCCAAAAAATACAAGATTTTTTGCTGAGTCGGACTAAGTCATTGGGTGTCAAGTTTGCAATCCCCGAAATTGCAAATCAATATTCTCATCTTGAAATCAGTAAAAGTAACTCATCCAGTCTTACCAATTTCAGACAAGCACCCCAACCATCAAAACCATGCACCCTCTCATCTCTCCCCACCCTCACCATCCCTCACCCTCCTAACAAGCAGCCGTCAGTTGGGCCTGAAATGCTCCAGTGGCTACATAGACAGTTCCTCATCATGCAGGTCAGGCTCTGTTCCCATCATCCATTCCAGCTATAGTTTGTCTACCAATCCAGTGGGTGAACATTACACAGCTGAGTGCCTGATGAGCCACTGGTGTCCCTTTAGCAGTAATGTGTTAATACAGAGGAGCTCTATTTTTGATCACCTCTGATGGGAGTCATCATTACATATGAAAGAAAATGGTGGTAGTTTCCCTGGTAGAAAGTGGTGAGCAGGCCAGCTGAAAGCTGTGGGTTGTAATTTTCTGTACGTGTGTGGCACGGGCTCATCTTGGATGCTATCTTAAGGCACAGTTTTAGTAGCTTGAAAACATTGCTAAAAGCTCAATGAAACACTAACTGCCTCCTTCCGTCTTTCAATGTCATCTCCTTGGGGAACGAGCAAGAAGAAACCAGTGGGCTTTAAAAGCTTTACTTTGCAGCTGCACAACAAAGGATGTCACCATGCTTTTCAGCACCCCATTGTTGGGTATTATCAAGGTGTGAAGGCTTTGAAAACAACACCTGTGGTAATGTGTATGACAATTGCTCCCCTGCCTAAAGAGATGCTAAAAGGAAAAAGGACGGTAATTATGAATAGGGCTAACCTTTTACGAACTCTCGCTCACCCCAGTTTGAGCCCCTTTGTGATTGGCATCCGGAATTTCCTCTTCCCTCTCCCCGGCTTTGGTGTTTTCACGGTGTGAGGAAGACTAACTACAGCGTTGATGAAAGAATCCAACGAGATGGAGAGCCGGGGACTTAGGAGGGGAGCCAGGTCTGCTTGTGTGTTGTTAGGGGGGAACCGTTGCAGAACGAAGCTCTGAAACAATAAACCAGACAAGTATTTTCAAAAACGGCATCCAAGTTCAGAGCACTGTGAGAGGTCTTTTAGAACATTCCCAGGAAATTGTTGACAACTTAAAACAGCATATTTCTTCAAAGCTCCTTTCAAAGTATTTTTCAGTACCGTGACAACAAATCTAGAAGAAAGTGTTTGCAGAAAGCGTTGATTTTTATGTGGTTGTTAACATCACATAAAGAGATTGCTGCAAGGCACTGACAACAGGTTTGTGTGGGTGTGCGTGTGTGTTGTGCTGGAGGCGGGAAGCACACCGCTCCCAGCTGGGTATTGCCCTGCAACTGACCTTGCTGTCTCCGCAGTAATTAGACAGCGGCAGGCGACTGCCTCCTGAACTCCTGCTGCCCCCTCTGTGTGCCGCCTCTCTGCTGGCCCATACAATGGGTGTGAAAAGGAGGGTTCATACCCACCCATACATTCAGTTCTGAGAGATAGAGTGTCACTGTAATGCAGCTGGAGCTGCTGGGGACACGGAGACGTACACCACAGCCTGTACTGAGTTGCATCTTCGCTCTCTGTCAAGGTCTTGTGTCAAGCTTTGCAACGTTAATTTCTTAATCAGAGAGCTTTTACTTACAGCATGTGTTGACATTAAGTCTTGTTCAGCGTGTATAGCTGGAACAATCACTGTTTGATCACAGATAGCGAAGGAGGTTTTTGCAAGGTCAATTAAAACCTGTTTTCTTACTGTTTCAATCCAGATAGCAATTTGGCCAGTGCTTGTTTGTTCTGAGGGTCCTGTGTGTTGTGACGGGTGATAAACCTAATGAATTAAATAACATTTTAACAGGAGAGCACAGTTTGAGTGCTGACTTTTAATGAGAGCTGTCAGCTTTGTTTGTAAAGCTCAAATCCCATTAAAAGCTTTCAGTTATTTATCAAGACTTGTCTGCCTTCACTGATTACTTAAATGGGCTTGCAAATGAAGCAAACAAAAAACCCAATCAAAAGTAACTCAAACAAGGGCTGTTCACAGAGGGAGCCAAACCCTTATTGCTTTGGATCTTATGAAGAAAAAAAGAACACATTCCAAACATCTTTGATCTTTACATTGTCAGTGTTTGTGTGTTTGATTTGCCTCTGACACTCTTACTATCAGTAATTTGGTGATTTTTAAGGTTTTGTCTGTGCAAATTAACACACTGCCATTGCCAGTATGTCATGTTTGGCTCCAGATAAATGCTGAGTAAATTTTAAAAGATTGGCAGCGACTGAAAGTGTCCTGTTACTGCAGGATGACAGGTTCAATACGTGCAAAAGACGATATGTGTGATCATCTATAGTAATGGTAGCCTCGCAAGTGGCAAGAGACACACTCTCTTTTGTGTGTGTATGTGTACACACACGCAGTCTTTCTGTCTCTCACATACACAAGATCACTTTCCAGTAGACTTTTTGCTCAAATATTAACCTTGGTCACGGGCGACTGGCCAAATCCCACACTGGCGTCCTCAGCACTTCACACACGCACTGTTTTCAGACTCCCTGACCAGAAATGACGGGGCTCATCTGCCCAACAGGCCGTGTAATCTCTTTGAGAATTTGTGTTTGAGAGATGAGGAGGACTCACCCCCTGATTTCATTACCTTTCCCTGACCCCAAAGACTGACAGATCTAATTGCCCAATCACTAGTCCCCCACCTCCATCCAACCCCATGTTCCCTGCTCAAATGACCGGCCTTCATTTAGTCTCCGGGTGGATGAAGAGACAGTTCATTCACACAGCAACCCCCAAGCCTTTAATCTTGCTCGAAAACTATTTGTTGGAGTGAAAATGGCCTCTCTGTTCTCTGAATGAAAAGAACATTGCAGCTCAAAGATCTCCACAGTTATACCAGGTCTCATTGCCAGAAAAATTGCGCAAAACATACGTAATGTTTTGTTGATGGCTGACTGTAAAAACAACCCCTTTTGTTCCATTTATAAGCAACAGTTCACTTGACTTGCTTCTGATCTCAGCACAGTTTCAATGCAGAACAATTCCCTATTTGTTTCTATCCTTACAATTTTTTTTAAATATTTTTTTTGCTAGGTGATCTTGTGGGGCCGAACAGAGAAGTGCCTCAAAGAAACAGCTGAAGAGATCTCACTCTCAGGAACAGAGTGCCATTACTTCCTGTGCGATGTGGCCAATCGGGAGGAAGTTTACAAACAAGCCAAGGTGGTTAGAGAAAAGGTACAAAGCTTAATATTTACAAAAATATTTCTATTTGCACAAAAAGAGATATCATTTGCACATAGTGAAACACTTCATAAAATAGTCTGTGATGCCTCTCTGTCTCCTATGTATGTATATTGGCTCTGAGCTGCTCTCTCTCCCATCTGGTGTATAGATTACACTTCACACATCTGAAATATCTGAATAAGAGCAGGGACTATTGCTGACAGCTCTGGTGCAGCTCAACTGTATCATCTCATGAAGGCAGACAGAAAACACATAAGATCTTTGACGGTCTTCTTTTTTTCTTATTTTTGTGCTTTTTAATCTCAGGTTGGAGATGTTACAATATTAGTGAACAATGCAGCTGTAGTCCACGGCAAAAGTCTGATGGACAGTGATGACGACGCCCTTCTGAAATCCCAACACATCAACACCATGGGACAGTTCTGGGTAAGACTTGCAGAAATTAAAGCAGAGACAGTTTGCATGCAGAAGAAGGGGAATTCCTCCTAGTAGATTATCCTTATCGTTTTCATATTTTGATTATAGCATGGCAGTATTTATAGTAGGCACCCAAGACTTGTCAATCATGACTGCTATTATGGGAGGTTAAGTAGGGTATTTCCAAATCGCCTCTCAGGCCCTGAAACATCAGAGGGGTTTTGAAAACTCATGGCATTCTTATTTTGAATGGAGATCAAAAGACTATGTCATATGCAGACAGAAATGCAATTATCAACTAAATGAAAATAGAAATTTAATCTGTGGTTACACTGTGGGTCTGTTTCTCTTGTCGGTTCTTCTTTTTACTCTACTGAATATATTTCACCTTGTATTTCCATCGTGTCGTTATTCTCCCCCTTCATTCACCCATTTTTCTTTTCTCGTCCCAGACTACAAAGGCCTTCCTGCCTCGCATGCTGGAGCTGCAGCACGGCCATGTAGTATGCATAAACTCTATCCTGTCCCAGTCTGCCATCCCTGGGGCCATAGACTACTGCACCTCCAAGGCCTCATCACTGGCCTTCATGGAGAGTCTGACGCTGGGCCTGCTGGACTGTCCTGGCGTTGGCTGTACCACCGTTCTTCCTTTCCACACCAACACGGAGATGTTCCAGGGCATGAGAGTCAGGTACTTAAAAATGTTATGCATAAGTGCATTATTTTTTACTTTTAGCCATACTAGCAGTGTGGTTCTAAGGAAGTGGATGTGGCTCTCAGGTCAGTCCACCACTAACATCAACTAATTGAACAACTATTGAATGGATTTCCATTTTAAGTACATTCATGGCCCCCACAGGATGGATCATACTGACAGTAAGGACCCCCTGACCTTTCCTTGTGAGGTTAACATTTGTAGTTCAGAGTAAAATATCATGTGGATTGCTTTGATCTTACACTATACATAATATACATATATATATAATGTATCCCCTGACCTTTCCTCTTTAATGAGCTACTACCTAGTAGATCTTAAAAAATCAAAGTTGCACGTTCTTGGAAACTTGGAAGTGTGAGTTTATGACTTTGCGCAACCCTCTGGCCTCTTTAGTCATCCAGCAGTGAGGTTGCAGATTGCAACCATCTGAATACAGCTCAGCCTTTCAATTTCGTAGGAGAAACTAGGGTGGCCATGAAAAGAAGGCTTTATCTAGAGCCAGTGTTTGGTTTGTCCATTCCAGGCTTCTGTAGAAACATTGCGGTTTAACATGGCAAATTCTGTCTAAGATGACTTGCTCCCTCTGTAGATTGTTTTAGGTTTATATTATAAGCTAAAAAATATTATATTCCATTTCTGACAATAGATCCTCCTAAATGTTACACACTGAACCTTTGACCCACTGTTTAAAAATAGTGCCACTTCATTCACCTAAAAAAGGAATTTGCCTTGTCACACACTCATTAAGCAAATCATTGATTTTCGGTCTGTCTGCCCCCTAGTGGCTGTCTTGATGCCTTTGTAGATGACACTTAACCTTGCTGCTTTAAACCTCTGATACTGTGTAAGGTGCTTTGCATCTATGATACAGAATGTTCTTGTACAGGTATATGAGTACACCCAACCTTTCACATTGCTGTGTAAAGCAGGCAATGTTTGCATTGTAATTTCAAATTACTTGTTATGAGCAATGGACGCACCTTGAAAATGAAGTCTTCATTTGATCAGAATGATCATAATTTTATCTGAAAACTACTGTTTTTTCTTTTGTAGGTTTCCCCAGCTCTTTCCTCCTCTTAAACCTGAGGTAGTTGCTCAGAGGACTGTGGATGCAGTCAGAGCTGACAAGGCCTTCCTCTACCTGCCCTGGACTATGCATGCGCTTGTCATTCTAAAAAGGTAAAAATTGTTTTGTTTTGTTTTGGTTTTTTTTTGGGGGGGGGGCTGTCTCGTTTTCATCACCATAATTGTTTCATGTGGAACATTCTTTCTTTTGTGTTTTTGCTTTTTTAGCTTCATGCCACAAGTTGCACTTGAAGAAATCCACAGGTTTTCTGGGAGTTATACCTGCATGAACACGTTCAAAGGAAGGACATGAACCTGGATTGCGCACAATGTGAGAGCGACCTCAATAGCTCTGAGATGTAATGAAGGAAATATGGACCTTAAGACATCTGGAAGTGGAGGAGGCCCCATGATAGTGTGAAGAGAAACACTTAGGGGACATGCAAGGTGGTTGCTTCTGCAGGTAGAATTAATTGATAAACTGCAGGATACACCGTGGTCCCATTTGTATGTATGTGTGTGCGCATGTGTATAGTATGGAGAACTGAATGCCATTCTCACTTTGAACAGAAGCCATGCATAGGTCTGTACCAGTAGTTATTTTGGAAGTTTTTGTGACACTTGTTTTAGTCTGTTTTTACACATCTTTTTTTATTCTCCTTTAAATGTGTCTTTGAATCAAAACAAGATAATAAAATGGAGTTTTAGAGACGCACCGTGTTTCTTTGTGCATGATGAAAATAGAAAAAGTGAGCACTTGTGTGTGTGTGTGTGGGGGGGGGGGGGTACACATTGTTTTGTTGTCTGGATTTGCGTTTCCCTATGGCAGGTGTGATAACACCTTTGATTTCATTCAAACATGACGTAGATCAGTGACTGTGACTGACGATGTTTCAAAACAAACACATGCTTTGGGGGGGAATGTTGTATTATTGTTTTGTCTCTGCTGGTCAGGAAAATGGTGCCGAGGGGGTGATGGTGTAATTCTCCTAAATATAATGAACTCAAAACAAAGGTCGGTCAGCTCTCACTCATCACACGTGCAGAGAGGTCTAAAACCCATTGATCGTGAACATGCCGACAGCAGAGACTGAACAGAGGCCTAAATTTATTAGCTTAAAAGTAGACTTATGTGAAAAAGTAAACATTTTTATTGCCTGTTATGAAGGATGACATATATCCAAATTTGTTTTTTTTCTAGGCTTGGCCACATTTCTCATATAATCTTACAATGTCTGGCAACTGCTTACATGTTATGTGGGCAGTAGTTCATATAAATGTGATTTGCATTAGTGAACCCCAGAGGCTAATATTTCCAGTGAAATATACATGGGACAATTAGAGCCTCTTTCACTTTATTGCATTGATGAATGTATTATGTTTTCAAATGGCTTTAGAGGAAATAGAGGAAATGGGAGCAGTATGAAACCACAATGGATGAGATACATCTAAATGCCAGTGCCAGAGTCTCACAATTTTCCTTTTTGACCTGAGGAATTTTAAAGGACAAGAATGAGCATACAACATGTTTAAAATAAGGAAGAGCTGTATACCAAAGATTATCCAAAACAACAACCCAGACTTAAAATTTATACAAAAGCTTGATGAACACTTCAACCCTCCAAAAGAGGAGAAAACTGATATCTGATTTCATCTGATGTGAACTGAATGAACAACCATGTAACGTAAGCAG